AAAAAAAAAAAAAAAAAAAAAAAAAAAAGAAGACATGTGAGCTCCACACAGTGTTCAGTCCCCAGCTCAGCGTTCCCCAAACTGACTCACCCCACCACCATTGTCAGTGTTGCCACATCTGCCTCACAACTGCTTTATGTTATTACAGCTCAACTCCCATCACCCCTTTCTTGGGGGGGACAGAGTCTCCCTTTGTCACACAGGCTGGAGTGCAATGGCACGATCATGGCTTGAGCAGCCTCAACCTGCTGGACTCAGGCAATTCCTCCCCCCTCAGCCTCCCAACTACTGGGACTACAGGCGTGAGCCACCGTGCCTCACCCTCCCTCTCCCTTTTAAAGGAAAACAACATCAGCAAAAAGCAAAATATAATTTGCCACAAATTCAGATGACCATAAAAGTGACTAGGAAAGTAAAATCCAAGACAGACAAATATTTGCTACCTGTTAAACTGCATGTTGAGGCTGCAAGCCTGAGATCGGGGCTGTTAAAGAGGAAAATCAGCAGGGTCCCAGGTCCATCAGCACCGAAATGAGACCCAGCTCGGCCCAGAACCACCTTATCCCAGGGTGACTGCTACCTCTCATGCTGGAGGCTGAGCTAGGGGCTGAAAGGCTCCAAAGCCAGCCTGGACTCTGGCTCCGAGAGCTTCTCAGGGAGCTCTGCTTCCTTTAGCAGCGATGACTCACTTTGCTTTACCCAACCTCCGACACTTTTATATTAATTAGGCCTCTCATTGGCAGGTAACGGGAAATCCAACTCAGACTGGGCTTAATAAAAGTGAGAGGGGGACAACTGGCTGTGTCTGGGGAGGGCAGGCTGCTCAGAAACATCAGCAAGCGTTCAGGTTTTCTGTCTCCATCCTGCCAACCACAAGGTCGCTTCATCCTAGGCGGGCACCCTGGTATTCACAGGTGCCTCCCACGGACCTAACCTGAGTGGTTTCCCCTTCACTCAGTATTGAGCGAGAATCCCGAACTCTGAGCCAACCGAACCATTCCTCAGCATCCAACTGCACGGATGGGCTTAGTCCAAAGCAACCTGGTCAGTCACTGAGCTAGCATTACTCTGGTTGGCTTAGACTGGTTGGGAGCCATCTCTGGAGCTCAGGTGAAAGCAATTCAAACCCAAATCTGTGCTACACTCAGAAGGTCTGGAGGGATGTTGAGGACCCAGCACTTCAAAGGAAGCCTTGTGCCATATCAAAACCAAATAAAAGGTGCAGTCGCTCCAACTCAGAAGACCTAGCAAATCCTGAAAAACCTCTTGACCTGCACTCTCTGGAAGCAGTGATTCCCAGCCCTGGCTACATACTGAAATCACCTGGGGAGCTTTAAAGACAGGCGATGCTAAGGTCCACCCCCCTTGGAGATTCTCATGTAATTGGTTTGAGGTGTGGCCCACCTGATTGCCAGACAGAACTGATGATTTAAAGAGACGCGCAGTGAATGTGGGCTACAAGCCCGACCCTTCCCCTGATAGCATTATCTGCTCCTGGTAGTTCCTGTGAGACCATTTATTCTTTTTCCCTGCCATTCAGCAGACACCTGCCAGCAGCCTAAGAAGAACCTGTACACTCAGAGATG